TACAAATACCTCCCTGTTAGAATTTTTTATTTAACAGAATTAATTGAAAATGTGAGATTTCTAACTGTCTACCTATACAATAATAAAATTATCTGAATTATTAATTGAAGTAAAATTTTAATATTATTAAAAACTGTTTATTAACTTGATGATTTATTAAAAAATGACCTATTTGTTATGAAATTAGAAACCTTAGGAGGTATAATGTAATTTCTAGAATCACAGGAATAATTTATAATTTAAGTAAATCTTAAGAGGTGTGTTTATAATTTACACTAAAAATAAATAATAATAAATTTAATATTATAATTTGTATATTGGTTAAGTGATTAGTATGTATTTAATGAAATCCAATGCCTTAGGTTTAAAATTTATTTACGCTGTGTATGATAATTTTTTTATTTTAATATATATAATGTTGCCACCTAGTATGAGGAGACTTCACTAAATTAATTTTTATTTTTATTTTTATTTTAGAATAAATTACATTTACTTCCCCTGAGGTTTTTGATAAATATAGAAACCTCCCATGTAATTTGAATAATTACAGTAACTTCCCTTACCTTACCTAACAATATCAAGATTTCCCCAAACGTGACTGCCGTTAGAAGATCTAACAGAAAGTACTGATGTCACTCATTATAAATTATGAATTGTTAAAAATACCCTTATTGCTTTCTAATTCATCCAACTTCTACAGCTTCACTGCCTTCTAATTCACCTTCTACTCCTGTCGTCATCAATACCAACCCATTTACGATTGCAGAACCTCCCACAAAATCAGAAATATACATAAAGGTATATATATGTAAGATATTTATGTATACATATATGTATATATATGTGTGTGATATATATATTGATTAAATACATATATATATATACATAAAGGTATATATATGTAAGATATTTATGTATATATATATGTGTGTGTGTGTGTGTGATATATATTGATTCAATTCTCTGTTTTATGTTTGACATATATAGGGTTTGATCACGCCGTGTCGGAAGGAAGAGTTCGAGAAGTCACCATCGCCAACGGAGAAGCGGAGGAAATCGAGTGACAGAGACCAGAGAATCGAAGCGTTTAGGACCAAGCTGTTGTTCTGTAGTGACCTTGATTCTCGTCTTAGTCATGCTCATGTGCATCTGCATGTTTTGTTTTGTTAAGCTTGCACTTGTGGTTTTGACTTGTTTTGCCTAAAGTAAGGTTTCCGTCTTGTTTTGTACCTATGTGTTTTGGCTGAGTATTGTTTGTACGTCTTGTCCCTTGCTTGGTGTGTGTAGCCGAGGTCATCTTAAGCCTAGGTCACACCTTTGGACCTTTTACACCTAGGACCATCTTGGAATCACTTTGGCTAACCTCCACCTTCACCCTGGCATATTGGCTGAGATGTCGTCATCCAGGCCGAGGTGTGCATCACCTAGGCCGAGATGTGTATCATCTAGGCCGAGATGGTATCACCTAGATATCCTAAATCTTTGATCCCTGCACCTGGTGATCTTGTTCATGGATTGGTATGACCTAGGGCGAGGTGTGGCACATCTAGGGCGAGGTGTGGCACAGCTAGGCCAAGTGTTAACCTTCCTAGCCGAGATCATTGAGACCTTACTTGCCGAAGCCTTGTCCTAATCCGAGGTCCTTACCTGCCGGAGTGCCCATGTCACCTTACTTGCTGAACACCCTTCGTCATGCTCTTGTCTTGTCATTCAGTCACTTTTTTTAAGAAACCCAATCCAGCAGTGCCACGTGCCCTAGCAGAGGGTTAAGTCAGCTGACAGTGAGAGAAAACATATCATTGTGTGTCATATTTTGCATGGTAGAGAGAGAAGCTCTAGGAAGAAGATGAAGAAGTTCTTAGAGTGAGAATAGATTTCCAAGCTTGATCTTCACATCTTGAAGTATTAGATCCGTATTTTGAGGTTAGATTCTTGATATGCTCTTGTTGTTCTTTACGTTCATCTGACCGCATTGTATGATCTAGCATGATTCATGAGCCATGCATTGCTTTAAAGTTCGGTTTTAGAAAGAGAAAATGATGTTCTTGTGTTCTTGAAATAAAACCATGTTTTGATCCGAAAGTTTGTATCAAGATCCATGTTTTTGTATTTGTTTTCATAAGATCTTCAAGTATGGGTACCCAGGTCCACGTTTTTGAACTCATGCTATGAAATCTTAGATTTTGCAGTAACAAGTTATGATTTTTGCATTCATGTTCTTCATGTTCATGTTCTTCGTGTTCTTCAAAGGGAAACCCAGGTTTTCCCGACTTCATTTCCCCTTGAATGTGGTCATCGGGACCATACCTCGGCCAAGAGGTGTGGGACCTCGGCCAAGACCTGGTTGGTACCCAGCATGTTTTCTGAGATGAAAAGCAGTGTTTTAACTTCCAGCATGTTTTGCTTTGACTTGACCTAGTTTTGAAAGAAATGCCGAGATCATTTCCTATCATGTAAAGCTGGTTCTAAGGGTGCATTTCATATCCATCTTTAAGCATCTCTTCTTGTCTTCTTGAAATGCATTCAATGGAATTTATTATGTGCTTGTAGGCCTTGGATCCTTGCTTGTAATCCCCTCACCCGAAGAGCTATGTGAGTGGTATTTTTAATAAAGTTATGTTATAAAGTTTTGATAAAGCCTTAATTCGTTTTTAGAAAAGTATTTGATTAAGAATGAATGATTGTCCCTAGTTTTGTATCTAGTATTATATTGTTTTGATGATATTCTGGGAAAGTCCTTAGTGCTAGGGGACTATAATGCAACTGCACCCTTGTTTTAAAAGTCCTTAGTACCAGGGGACTATAATGCAACTGCACCCTTGTTTTGCCACTGACGGTTTTCCGCGTGGGTTTGTTTGTCCGGAATGTCATATTGATGCTAGTAAGCATCCCTTGAAGCTTTGAAAGATTTGACAGATGGACTGGGTTCATCCTTTGATTTTGTACAAGATATGTTATGTATTGTTTAATAAAGATCTTAATTATCAGTCATGCAAACCTTTATTTCTAATATCATTCACTGAG